TTTGTATTTTTAGTAGAGACGGGGTTTCACCATGTTGACCAGGATGGTCTCGATCTCTTGACCTCGTGATCCACCCACCTCGGCCTCCCAAAGTGCTGGGATTATAGGTGTAAGCCACCGCGCTCGGCCTAATTTTTAACTTTTTTTTTTCTGAGATGGAGTCTCGCTCTGTCACCCAGGCTGGAGTGCAGTGGCGTGATCTCAGCTCACTGCAACCTCTGCCTTCCAGGTTTAGGCAGTTCTTTGCCTCAGCCTCCCAAGTAGCTGGGATTACAGGAGCGTGCCACCATGCCTGGTTAATTTTTTTTATTTTTAGTAGAGACGAAGTCTTGAACTCCTGACCTCGTGATCCACACACCCTGGCCTCCCAAGGTGCTGGGATTATAGGCGTGAGCCACCGAGCCTAGCCCCCCTTTTTTTTTTTGAGATGGACTCTTGCTCGTTGCCCAGGCTGTAGTGCAGCGGTGCAATCTTGGCTCACTGCAATTTCCAACTCCCAGGTTCAAGTGATTCTCCTGCCTCAGCCTCCCAAGTAGCCAGAACTACAGTCACTTGCCACCACACATGGCTAATTTTTGTATTTTTAGTAGAGATGAGGTTTCACCATGTTGGCCAGGGTGGTCTTGAACTCCTGACCTCATGATCCATCTGCCAAAGTTCTGGGATTACAGGCATGCGCCACCGTGCCTGGCCTACTAGAAGTATGTTTTTAGATATGCATGGATTCTCAGCTGTATCTCCTTACTGTGGATTAGGACTTGGCAGAAGAGCAAAGCTGAATTAATATGATGATATGATATCCATTTTCAGGCCTAAAGATGCCCCAGGCATCATCTCATCCAACCCTCTAATTTAGGGTCGGGGAAACTGGCTGGGCATGGTAACTCATACCTATAATCCCAGCACTTTGAGAGGCCAGGGTGAGAGGATAGCTTGAGCCCAGGAGTTTGAGACCAGCCTGAGCAGCATAGCGAGACCCCATCTCTACAAGACATCAATAAAGTTGGGGAAACTGAGGCTCAAGGAGAGTAAGTGACTTGTTCCCAAAACTGCCTCCTTTTGTTGTGGGTGATGAGGAGGTAAAATGAGGCTTCAGTGAGAAATCTGTTGAAAATCTTTCCTTTCTCCCTTCAACTTTCATATTCTGCTTGTTCCTACCCAGGTGGAAATAATATTTATAAAACATTGGTGTGTCTGTTGGTAGAGTCAGTGCCTGTTTACAGAACTGTCCTCTTTAAACCAAATGAAAGAAACTAAAATATCTATTATATATTTTTGGCTAAAAATAGTCTCTTATTCTGTTTGGAGATATTCTGAACATAGTTGTTTATTTAATAACAGGTTTGGCCCATTTTCCATTTATGGGCCTGACTTAAATATATTAAAAAAATTTAAACCTATAATAATATTTACTAGCAGGCTTTAATTTTAAGCTTTACCCTTGAGAGCTGTTTCTCCTTTTAAATTTTTATTCTTCTTCAAAACGTGGTGCCATCGGGTTCCTGAGGTCATGGAGCAGTGGGGCCAGGTCTTGGTGTTGGAGGAATCTTTGTTGCTTAGAGAGAAGAGTAGGAGGACAAGCACAGGGGTTGGGTCAGGAGATCCTGGGCTGGAATCCTGGTCCACTCCTTCCCAGTTCTGTGACCTTGGATGAGTTACTGAATTCCTCTAAGCCTCGGTTTCCTCATCTGTAAAATGGGAATAACAGACCAGAGTTGCTGGGGTCGTGTGAGCATGGGAGATTATGTACGGCTTTTCTTTTCTGTTTTTTTTTTGTTTTTTTTTTTTTTTT